CGCCGTGGTAACGCCCCCGGCACTCTCCCCCTGCAGGAGAGCGAGGATGCTGTCAAAGCTCTGGCCAAGGAGAAGGACCTTCTGGAGCGTGAGAAGTGGGAGCTGCGGCGCCAAGCCAAGGAGGCCACGGACCACGCCACGGCACTGCGTTCCCAGCTGGACCTCAAGGACAACCGGATGAAGGAGCTGGAGGCCGAGCTGGCCATGGTGAGACCCCCTCCCCACCCTGCCTTCGCCCACCCGGGGCGGCCGCTGCATCTTCTGGAAGCAACGTGCTGGGAGACAGGGGGATGACATTGGTTCATCCAACAGTCCTGGAGTGGAGTGGAGTCCAGTCGGGCAGAGCAGGGCCCCAGAGTGGGCAGGATCGGGGCAGGGTCTCTGATGATCAGTCATCTTCATTGCACAGCCCCTGAGCCTGGAGCAGCCTTTCCCCCCACCTGCCTGGGGTCTGGGGTGTGCAGGTCCTGGGAGACCATCTACTCTTCCACATTCCACTGGCTACTAAAAAAAAAAAAAACTTGTTTTTATTTAAAACACATATATTTGTTTAGGAAAACATTTGGGAGAAAATACACCAAAAAATTAACATGGTTATATTTGGGTACTGTGATTACAAGTGACTTTTATGTCCTTTATTCCTCCCTATTTTCATCTGTAGTGAAAATGTCTAACTTGGGTCGTCATGAAAAAAAATGGTTACTTTTTTCTAATCCAAAACAAACCTTCAAAATACTTCCAAATGCTGTGTTTTCCACAGAGGCGCACAGCCCACAGGTAGTGACCGAGAGCCCCCAGGTATGTCTGGGCCCGGTGGGAAAACTGAGGTCCAGCGCCCTGTGATTCTGTTCTGCCTGCTCTTGTGTGACCTGGGGCCACTCACTGAGCCGCTCTGGGCTTCGGCGCCCTGTATCTGGAACCGGGGTGGGGTGGGCGTGAGGGTCTTTATGCCACCTTGCCTGCCTCTCTAGGTGTCTGGGAAGCTCGAGGGAGCTCAGGGCTCAAAGGGCCTGTGAAACAAGGGCCCGGGGCTCAGTGTCACCAGACGGGTTGGAGACTGCGTGGGGACCCCCACCTCCCCGAGAGGCCAGGAGGCCTCCGTGGCTCTGTACGCTCCCGCAGAGCGCTGCCGTGGTCCAACAGTGTAGTTACCGCCGTGATTTCTGGGTTCACATCCACCGCCATCACTTTCTAGCTGTGTGACCTCGGGCAGGACCCTTTACCTCTCTGGACCTCGGTTTCGTTGTCAAGTCTGAAAAGCATAATTGCAAGTATCCCATGAGGCTCTTGTGTGATTTCCATGAAATAATGCAAGAGAGGAGCCTGTGCGTGAGGAGTGATGACATGACCAGGTGGAGGTTTTCTCCTCATTTCCTTCAGGACTGCAGGCCACCCCATCCTGGGTGGGGCCGGGCAGGATTCGTGGGTCCTTCCTGTCTCCTTGTCCGACGCTGACCCCTAGTGATGAGAACCAGAAGTAGCACAGCTGCCAGGTTTGTCTTGGGTGGAGGCTGGGGCTTCCCACCAGTGGGGTCTGCGGTGCTGGTGGCTCTGCTGCCACCTGCAGCCCAGGCAGAAGCCTTTCAAATTGCAGGCATGGGAAGGAGGTGCGGGCTGAGGCAAGGACCCTGTTCTCCCAGGTCTGCCCTGTGGGCGGACAGATATGACTTCCTGGCCCTGGAGTAGTGGCCTCAAGCATCCAAGGGGATTCCAGGGGCCATCAGGAGCCAGACCGCCCTGCTTCCACTCCTCCATGCCCGGACTGCTCAGCCTGTTTCCATTCTGGCCAGTGAAGCTCAGGTTCTTGCCTCCTCCTCCCGGCAGGCATCAGACCCTTCTGCGAAGTGTGAGTAGTTAGGGCGAATGTGCGTGCAGCTCAGGGTGGCGGATTTGTTGTGACAAATAAAAAAAGGGGCTCAGAGGCAAAGGAAAGGGGTTTTCCTAAGAGCTGTAACAGCCCCAGTGTTGCTGGGGTGTCTACCTGACTGAAGTCCCCTCTTGCCCACCATCTGCAAAATTTCACCACCTGGAGGCCTTCAGGGCTGCCGGCTCCAGGCAGCGTTGTCAGCTCCTCCGAGTGCCAGGGCAAGACCAGAGGGAGGGCACCTTCCCACATGTGTGCCTTATGGCCTTGGGTTGCAAGCAACAGAAAGCAGCTCTGGCTAGTTTAAGCGCACAGGCGCGCATTGGAGGAAGTCAGGGGCCCACAGGTGTAGGGGGAGGGTGAAGGGTCAAAGCCAGGGCGGCCGCAGAGGAAGCAGGATCCCATACTGAACAGTCTGCTCAGTGGCCCCCGCTGGGGACGGGACATTTCCTGATGACTCCTGGCCAAACCAGGCATCACCACTGCTTACAGAGCAAATTCACCTCTGTGGCCACATTGGCCCAGCCGGGTCCACCCTGGCGGGGTGTATGTCTATCTATTTTTAATATATTGTTTTATTGAGAGATAATTCACATATTATAAAATTCATCCTCTGGAGATGCACAGTTCAGTGGTTTTTAGTATCTTCACAAAGTTCTGTGACCCTCTTTCCAGAAGTTCATTACCCCAAAAAGAAGCCCGGACCACTAGCAGCCACTCCGATGGGGCGCACGTGCTTGTCGTGTCTGTTTTACACATGCAGAAACGGGCGTGGGCTTCAGGAGGCTCGCCCAGAGCTGCCCAGCGACTTGAGAGGCAGAGCTGGGGATTGGCCAGTCCCCGAGCTCCAGGAGGTGACCCTTCACCTTCAAAGCCTTGGAAAGGACGATCAAGTGCTGACCCGGAGGAGACACCTCCCCTGACCAGCCATCACTCATCCCTAAAGCAGGAGACAGGGTTGCCGGCCCCTGACGTCACGGGCTGCCCGCAGGAGCTGGCTTCATGCTGGACCCTGATGGACCCTGGAATCCCCTTGGATGCTTGAGGCCACTACTCCAGGGCCTAGTGTTCAGTCAACGCTGCTTCTCCCAAACAGGAAACGGTTCCTACGTTTACCAGAAATTCTGGAAACGGGGGTCCTCGCCCTCTGCACCGTTGCCATTCGGGGCCAGATAAGTCTGCCTTGAGACCATGCCGTGCTCTGTAAGATGCGTAAGATGTGGCCGCCACCCCGGGAGGCCAGGAGCACCACCCAGTCGTGAGAACCAAAGTCTCCAGGCATTTCCCAGTGTTCCCTGGGGGGGAATGCGCCCCCTTCAAAAACCAGCCTTCCGTAAAGTAGGACGTTTCTCAAGAATCGAGCGAGGGACCCCCTGGTCTCCATCCATCTGTCTGTGCCCTGGCCATTCAGTTCTAACGCATGCCTGGTTTGCGTCCCCCTCTCTGGCTTCGTGAGCTTTGACAGGGGCCTTAACTCTTCTGAGCCTCGGTCGCCATGTCTGCGAGACTGTCCTGGGACAGTTGTGACGTGAGGTGACGGCTCCTCGGGGCGGGCATGCCGTGGATGCTCAGTAAACGTTAGCCGTAGCTTACCGGTGTCCAACACTTAGGTCCATCCTGTCCTCAGGCCACACCAGGGCCTCTGTTTCTTCATCTGTGAAGTGGTAGCCGCCACAGGCCCCGGTGGGAGTCAGGCACAGGGAAGGTGAGTGAGAGGCAGGGTCAAGCAGCAGGGGCACAACAGCGATGGCCCAGGTCTCGGCTCCTTTTCCGCCACAGGCCCCGGTGGGAGTCAGGCACAGGGAAGGGTCAGTGAGAGGCAGGGTCAAGCAGCAGGGGCACAGCAGCGATGGCCCAGGTCTCAGCTCCTTTTCTGACAGCCCTGCTCTGGGTTGGCCCTGGTCCTGCCCTCTCTCTGAGGACACCGGCCACACGAGCACCACCTTCCGGCCTTGGACCACTGCCATCTTGTACAGCAGGTGGCCCTCGCCCACAGCCAACTCCCAGCACTGGGCCTGATCTAGGACCGCCAGCCACCACACGTGAGGTCAGGGCCTGCCCGAGCCCGCCGTTCCCCACGCACCCCTCCCCCGCCCCCCGGCCTCATAGCTTCCACTCCGTCTCTGGGGCCTGCGGTGTGGCGGTGGTGTGGAGCCGGAGTTTGCCTCGTCGGTTCCGGCTGCCACCAGCAGCCGCCAGGTCTGTGAAAGCACCGGAAGAGGGTAGTCGAGTCAACTTGTTGTCAGGCAAAGTCTGTGCAGCTAGAGTTCACTGGAGCATGAACCTTCTTTCGGAAGATTCCTGCCCCCCACCCCACCCGCTTTGGCCCAAAGAGACATTCCCTAGACAGGCAGGAATCCCCTGAAAAGCAGGTGAAGGGTTGTGGCTAACAGCGCTCACAGCATCCCTCGGGGCCTGGCGCCCTCTCTAACATGGAAACCCAGGCCGGCTTCCAGATCAGCAGACCCTCCAGGCAGTTAGGGGCCTTCGTCAGCCTGACCACAGGGTAGGTGAGGGCGGGGCCCTGCCCTACTCTCCTGCCTCCGGGATCTTAGGGAAGACATAAATAATCCTGTCACCTTGGCATCTACTTGTTGAACATGACGATAGACCAGTCTCTTGAGCCTTTGTGTGAATTATTCCACGTCTAATTCCTCCTAACAAAAGTAGAGACTGTTTCATAAGAGCAGTGACTTACATTTATGGAGTATTTTTTACCATGAGGCAAGTGCTCTCCATAGCAACCGTTTATCCCCATCAGACAGGTGAGGGCATGAAGGCACAGGGATGTGAGGGGCTTCTCTTGGGACCCCCCGCTAGGAAGCGGCAGAGCTTGGATCAAATCCACGCCATCTGAGCCCAGATTCAGAAGCTCTGTGCCATGCCACCTCATTGCACAACTCCAGGGGGCGCTACTCGCATAGACATGATCCCTCCCAGTTTCCCCATCTTACCAGTGAGGACCCTGAAGCTCAGAGCGGTGGAAAAACTTACAAGGTCACATAGCATTTAAACAGTAAACGCGGAGTATGAACCTAGTTCTGTCTGACTTCAGTCACGTGGAGGTATTTGAGCCGCGTCCCAGTTCCCGGGAGCTCCATGGCCTGGGTTCAGAGCGCTCAGGATGGGGTGGAGGCACAGAGAGGAGAGCAGGGCGTCAGGAGTCAGAGCTCAAGGATCCCTCCCAGCATCATACTGCGTTTATTGGAAGAGCGATGAGTCGGAAACGCCGTGTGAAATGGCCACAGAGAGGTGGTTCGATGCAGCACCCAGGGCGGATGTGGGTTTTAAATCAAGACTCCATGTCTTCGCTATAGTGGGCAGTTTGGGAGCGGTTCCTGTGCTTCAGAACCCACAGGTAAACCTCTCCATCCTGCAGGACTGACCGCAGGGGCCCTTCCGATTCTCAGGTAGCAATGATGTTGAGCTGCCTGCCGAGTTAGCAGGTACCACTCCCAGGCTCCGACGGAGGTGAGGGAGGCTCTACCTGGGAGAAGAAAGCAGAGTGACAGAAGAGTGACCCCGTCCAGGCCTCTTCCTGTGCTGCCATAAAGGGCGGCTTATTTCTGGGAGGCGGCTTGGACCTCCCTGTGCTTCCCATGCAGGTGGCTGGGGACGTTTGCAAGAAGGTCAGAGCAGAGGGTTAATTATCACGTGATGGCAGACCCATCTGAGTACTCATTTCTCCCCCGAGTCCATCTTCTGGGCAGCCAGGATGGATTGAGCAGTGGGGCAGCTGCCCGAGTACAGTAGCGCCAGGATGGCGGGCCAGGGCCCACGTGCACTGCAAGCAGAGTGGGATGTGGTGGTCCATGAAACATGAGTCTTCATGATACTGGGGCTGCTGCAAGCGTATGGCAGCTCGAAGACATACCCAGCCTTGCTCCTTCCTTCAGCAGAGGGATTGCTCCATGGTCCTGGTGATGATGAATTAACAGAGCTGGTCTCCTGGGCCATCAGCCCCGACACAACAGAGGCCTGCCTCCATTGATTCTGCTGGTTTTTACCAAGTGCTTCACTGGATGTGCCCAGCTCCAAGCCAAGTGGTAGGGATTTTGTGGTGGCCAGACATGCCCCATCATCTGCCTTGTGGACTCAGAGTCTGCATCACTGATGCTGGTTGTTTTCTTGTCTCAGAGGAGCGTGGGCTCACAGTCAGACACCCGGCTTGGGGCCCAACTTGGTTGTTATACCTGCTGTGCAGTCTTAGAGAAGCCACTCAACCTTTCCTCTGTCAAGAATAGATAATTCCACACTCTCTACTTGAAACCCAGGGCTGTTGCACTGAGCACATAAAGGTTTTCTAAGTCAGGGAGGAGATTATTACCTGGCTTGGGGGTGGAGCTAACACCCTCTGCCTATAAATAAATTTAATAGGTTTATATTCCACAGAAGCTGGCAGTAGAAAGGGAGTGATTTCATAGACTCTTGGGGTTTCTGAGCTGGAGAAAACCCTAAAGATCACTTGGTCCAGGCTTTTCATTGTACAGATGGGAAAACTGAGGCTCAGAGAAGGCAGAGACTGATCTAAAATAACATAGCTAGTCTATGTGATGAGGGTGTATCAGGCTTTAGGCCAGGGAATGTCCATTCATTGGCTAGAATCTCTTTCTCAAGAACCACTGCTCTGCCAGGAAGAACCTCGGGCCTTGAGCAAGGTATGGAAATTTCTGAAGCTAGGAGAGATGTGAGGAGGTTTTCATTTTATCCGTGTTTATATTAGAGGCAAAGCCAGCACGCACATGGCTCTGCCATCTGTAGTGAACCTCTAGGGCATCAGATTCACAATCTCAGTGGGAGACCCCTGGACCAGTCCTTCTGTCCCCTCTCTGCTTGGCGTGAGCCTGGAGAGCCAGTTAGGAAGTAGAAATTGACCGTGATGAAAAGAATGTGCATTAATACGTATCGAATATGTGCCCTTTTTCTCTCCCAAGATAATTTGAAATTACTTCTAATAAAACCCCACATATCCTCGGGGGAGATAACCCAAAGCTAAGCGAGATATCAGTCGCCAGGCAGAGAAAAGAAGAGCTGACCATCTCGCCCACCCTAATTCAGCCCCACACTTGTCCCTAGGCTTCCTCGTGTCCCACGCATCCTCATCACGTGATCAGTCCTGAGCGCCAGGTCGGGATTTGCCCTGTCCCCAGCCTGCACTGCATAGCACCTTGCGGAGGGGAGATCACGGGTTGAATTGGGGAGGAATTAAGGTGATGGGAGCCAGAACACCATTTTCTTACAATCTCCTGCAAATTCCAGCTAGTCCTCGGAGAACCCAAAAGGATGGGTGATTCGTGTGTGGTCGGCCCCCCTTTCTCTCCACATTGCTGGATTTTCTGTGTGTTGTCAGGAAGTAAGGGGTGACCCCAAAGTGCACCCCCTCAGGTGAGGCTTGCAGGGCAAGTCCTTGACCTACCGATTGGCACAGAGCCTGAGACACCCTGGTCCGGGCGTTAGTTGACGGGTTTCTCATGATGGCGGGCGATGGCCAAGCCGCAGGCCACGTGGTCCCCTTGATGATGGCATCCTCCTCCTGTCTCCTGGCTCTCTCTCCAGGCCAAGCAGTCCTTAGCTACGCTGACCAAGGACGTCCCCAAGCGGCATTCACTCGCCATGCCGGGTGAGACCGTGCTCAACGGCAACCAGGAGTGGGTGGTGCAGGCGGACCTCCCGCTGACCGCAGCCATCCGGCAGAGCCAGCAGACTCTCTATCACTCACACCCCCCCCACCCTGCAGACCGGCAAGGTGAGTCCTGACCCAGCTCAGCCCTGCCACAGCTGTTGGGGGGCTGCTTCAGAGGCATCTGACCCAGTGGCCAAGGCAGCCTCTTCTTTCGCACTATAGCTCCTTAGCGGGGTGTGGGGCAGAGGCCGTGGGCTCATGGAACTGCAGTCTAAGAGGTGGACCTCAGGCATAGCTGGATCTGGAGGTTCAGACAGTACCTGAGTCTGTCTGATTGTTTCTCTGTGTCTCTCAGCTCTGCCTGCCTCCTCTTTAATTTGTTTTCCTCATCTTTAATTTGTTTTTTTTCCATGAGACAGCAAAATAGTTGCCAACAGTTCCAGGCTTTTAAGGCCCTTACAGCTCAAAAGTCTTGAGAAGGAGACATTATGTCTTTCTCTCTGTCATAGCAAATCCCAAAGAAGGATTCTGATAGGCCAGCCAGAGTCTCATGCCCACCCCTGGACCAATCACAGTGTCTGGGGAGTGGATACACTGATTCTCCAGCCTGGGTCACATGGGCCTCCTTTGGCAGGGGTGAAAGCGGAGGTCCTTGATTGACAGTTCCATGCAATCACAGGATGTATGAGAGGGCCAGAAATAAATGTCACAGGTGTTTGCTCCAGGCACTGGGGGGAAATAAGGGCCTAGCCTCTGGGAAGCATCTGCACCCACTGGCCATGGTACAAGCCCCAAACCCGTTTGCACATCTGCAGTCCACCTGGCTCCATTCTCTGTCCCTCCTGTGAGTGGCTGCCTTTCTGTGACAGGTGCAGGTTGGGGAAAGACAGCTGGCCTTTGAAGCCCCAAAGTCCTACCATCACCAAACTGAGAACTCAAGTTTTGACTCCATAGCCCCTCCCCTGCTGAGCCCACATGGCCCTTGGCAGCAAGCACTGCCTTTCTCAGTAATACAGCCTTACTGCTCACGTGCTGCCCGCACATAGTAGGCCTTCAGTCAGTCTTGTTGAGCAAAGTGCTTGCTGCCCCCACCGAGTGCCAGCACCTGCAGACAGAATTGCAGTCTGCCAGCTGACTTGGGTGGGCTTTTTGGTGTGCCTTCCAAGCTGAGCCTTTCATTCTGTGACTAACAATTGAGCACCTACTATGTGCCAGGCACTCTGAGCTCTGGGGTTCGACACGGATAAGACACCAAGCGTGCCTGCCCCCACGGAGCTGACATTGGAAATGTGGAGACAAACAACAGACACATAACTGAGCTGGCTGGCACACTGAATGATGACAAATCGTAATTAGCACAGGGAGGAAAATCAGCAGAAAACAGGTGCTTTGATGGAAAAAAAGGCAGTAAGGAGAGCCAATAATTGGGGGAAGCCCTCTCTCGGGATAAGCTGAGACCTGAAGGCTGAGAATGTGCCAGTGGGCAGCAGGACAAGCCTGAGGCGGGGGGGAGATGGCGCATGGCCGGTGCGACACAAGCCGAGGCCAGTGGAGGGGATAGGGCTGTATTCCTTCTGGGCGTCGGAGGCCAGGAGGAGCATGCGCGTTTACCCCCAGGTGGCCAGTTTGAAAGGTGGAGGCAGGGAGGCCTGCTGGGAGGCTGCCTAGGTCTTCCGGGCAAGAAGCAGTGGTGGCTTGGGCTCAGGAAGTGGCGGCGAGGCTGGACAGGAGTGGATGGGTTCGGGGCTGTGTTTAGAGGCGCTGCGAGTGGTTGGGTGTGAGGTGTAGCTAGTGGTGGCCGCTAGGCTTCTGGCCTGGGAAGCTGGTGCTGTACCAGGTTTGGGAGGTGGGAGCATTGAGGCCCCTGGGCATACCTGCCTTTTCCTGTCCTTCACCTGGCTTAGGAGGGGGCCTAACTGGATCCAGAGGCTCTGGGAGATTCTTCCCTCCGCTGCCCTTTGGTGACGTGTGGGGCTGTGGATAGAGGACCTGAATGCTGAGCAAGTGTCCTCTCTACGCCTCAGCGTTCTTGTGTGTATAATGGGGGCCTCGGGTGGAATCACCTGCATGGCAGTAAAGGCGAGGACGTTCTCTCCACCCCTCACTTAACCAGCTGTCCCTGCTTTCCAGCAGTCAGGGTGAGCCCCTGCCACTCCCGGCAGCCCTCTATCATCTCCGACGCTTCAGCTGCGGAAGGCGACCGGTCATCCACGCCGAGCGACATCAACTCCCCTCGTCACCGGACGCACTCCCTCTGCAACGTAAGGCCAGCAGCAGCAGGGCCTGGGCCCTGGGCCCTGCCCGCAAACCGCCGGGGCGGGTGGAGGGGTGAAGACGTACCCGCTGTTTCCTCTCGTCCACCCAGGGAGCACTCTGGCGAAGGCATTTCCTGGTCTGTTCTTTCCTTTTGCAAGAAGAGATGGATGTGGGGAGAGAGAGGAAGGAGGCCCATTTGCTCCTTGTGTCCGGGAGGGCAAGGAAAAGCCTGAGGAAGGCGGGCCGGGGACGGCCGTGGGGTCTGTGCAGCCCGGGTTCCCTCTGGTGGGCTGTGCCTGGAACCGTGGGCTCCTCCCAGACGTTCCCCCCAGAGCTCGGGGCCTCACCAGCACGCTTCACCCCCCTCTGGGGCCAGCTCGCAGGCCTTCATCCAGGAATGAGCCGGATTTTTTTTTTTTTTTGAGCTTCCGGGAGCTTTGATGCGTATTACCTCTGGAGAGGCATTCATGAGTGTGTTCTAAGTTTTTGCTTTGCTTATTTAATCACGTGTTTTGATTGCACCCCTCTGGGGCCCGCTCTCAGGCCTTCATCCAGGAATGAGCCGGATTTTTTTTTTTTTTGAGCTTCCGGGAGCTTTGATGCGTATTACCTCTGGAGAGGCATTCATGAGTGTGTTCTAAGTTTTTGCTTTGCTTATTTAATCAAACGTGTTTTGATTGCATACTGGACGCCAGCCATGGAGAGGCACGTGGCACGAGTCACCTCACTCTCCATGACTAGTAGGGCGGGCAGACAGGCTGCCGAGGAGTGAGGGAGTGAACGAAGGTGGGTCCTGCGTCCGAGGACAGGAGGACGCCATGTCTAGACCCTGACATGAAACGCTGGGGTCGGGTGGTGAGGGCCACTCTCTGTTTTTGTCCCTTCATGGGATCGATGATACAGAGGGTTCCCCGACTAGGTCCCAAAGACAAGCCGCAGTAGGGTCGGTCTTCAAATGCACGGAGAGGCTTTCTCAAAAACTCAGTGAATGTCACTTTCATTAACCAGTGAGATAGATAACAAAAAAAAGAAATGAGGTGAATATAGCAGGAAGGAAAAAGAAAATAACCGTCATTTGCCGATGACGATTATCTACTTGTAAAACTCGAGAGAATAACCTTGAAAAGCCATTAGGACTAATAATAAACTAGTGCATAATGGTACTGGTTGAAAATCAATTTATAAAAATCTGTAACTTTTCTATATACAAGGAATCATAATGGAAACTTTTTTTTTTTTTTAATCTACAATAACAATAAAAAGCATTTATAGAAATGGCTGAGAATAAACTTAAAATGACATTTCCGCAGTCCGGTGAGGTGGGCAGCGGGATTGCTGGCCGGGGCTGTATTCAGCCCACACCAGGGCAGGGAGAAGGTCGCTCGCAGGCCTGGGGCCCCGCCCGGGGCTGGGGTTCTTTTGTAACTGGGGCCTTTATAAAAGGAAGCAATGTGTTCTTCTCTGGTCCCAAGAAGAACAAAGGCTGCCTTGACTGACAGGACCGAGGCCATTAGAGGGGCTCCTGACATCTATTCTCTGGTTCTGAGGGGCCACTGTTAACTCAAACCGACAGCCAGCAGTGCCCTTCAGCCTTACAGCACAGGCCAGGCACCCTATCGTATCCGTGCATGCCCCAAGAGAGAATACCTTCCCAAGGGCCGTATCTTTTGGTCTTCTCGTGACAGGTCCAAGGGGGCTCAGCCAAGACGCTGCTGGAAAACCCATTCTGCAGAACGCATTCTCTACAGGCCTCTGGCATTTCATTTGGCACAGGTCCAGCCTTTTGCCCAGCTTGGCCTTGGCACATACCCACTACCACAGGCAGTGCGTCCGACCCATTTATTTCCAAGCTTGCCTTAGATAGGACCCTGCTGCCACTGGTTCTTTGATAAGCCAGTTGTCTGGGTACAGGCATTTCAGCAGGCACTGGCCTCCTCTTCCCCATAAATTTGGCAAAGATGGCCCTGTCCAGAGTAAACCTGTTTTAGCTGCCCGCCACTGAGTTCTGTTTGCAAACCCTGAGATGGGACTAAAGACTAAACTACCGTTTGTTCCATCCCTGCCCTACCTAAACCACCTTCATCCCATATCTCAACAGATGTGCACACAGGTAAGCCAGGAAGAGCCTGAAAATAGCTCCAGGTAACCAACCCTCTGTTCTCAGGCATTTGGCCTGCCACCAGCAAGAACAGCCCAGTCTGGACTAAGGACCCCTCCACCCTCTCGTTTTCTGGCCACTCAGTTAGAGCAGAGAGGTCTCAGCACAGAGAGGATGGAGAAAGTTAATGGACATTGACTCAAGTGAGAGATATTTTGTTTTGTCCTGGACACTTTGCCTGCAATTCTGGAAAAAAACACCAGGAGTCTCCCTCGTAATGTTTTCTGTGATCTAAATGATCTGTTTGCCCCCAGGCCGGGCAGACTGATTCTGGGATGTAGTAAAGGCTCCCTCCCACAAGAGGGAGCGCTGGGCCAGGAGGAAACAGACTGTCCCAGGTTTGAGCTGTGGCTCTGCTTTTAATTAGGTCTGTAATGTTAGACTATCTGGAGCCGGTGTGCCCGTAAATCGGGCTAATAAGCCCTGCTACCCCTCCACAAAATAAGAGAGTGATTGTGTTGTTCGCAAGAGAAGTTAGAGGCCTCATATTCTCCCAAGTCCTCCTGTCCCGAAATTATTTTACTGCTTTTTTTCCTATAAAACTATATCTCTTTCTGTAAAGTACCAAGTATAACCAACCTCCACTTTTAACATGATGGACCAATTGGGACAAGAACTTAGAAGCCTTTGAGTGACTGATTTACTGGTCAGAGGGTGTTGGGGGCCAAGAAGCCAGAGCAGGCAGGAGAGCACCCCAGGCTCTCTGGCCAGGACCCTGGATCCAGATAGCATCTTGATGAGCCCCAAGCCCTCCCCACTGAGCCATCCCGGAGTGTCTGCCTCAGCGGTAGGGATGGGTTCTCCACTATGGAGGCAGCGTAGTCCCTAAGGGATGGCCTCCTTTCACAGAAGGCCCCGTGCCCCATGGGTCACCTGCTCTCAGATGTCACGTGTCTCCGCTGTTTCATCTTTCTCTTCTCCTTTGGCTACAGGGCGACAGTCCCGGCCCGGTCCAGAAGAACCTGCACAACCCCATTGTACAGGTAGGTGTGCTTTCGCGGGTGCTTGGGCCCTCCCTTCACCCCACCTGACAATGACTTCATCCCATGTTCCCTGGGGCCCTTGGCATCCCCGCTCCACACCTGGGCACCCAAGGCAGAGAGGAGTTAAGGCACCGCGTGAGTCACATGCGGGTTGGTGCCTGAACCCAAGTTCAGCACCTGAGTCACCCCTTCCACAGCCTCTTCCAGATCTGTCAACCTACTAAGTGCATCACACATCCTCCATCCTGCTGCCCTGGTAACATCTTCTCCTGGCAGCCCAAGGCTGGTGACCCAAGCCATGAGCTCACTGGGCTCCTCGTTGCAGGAAACTTATTGATTTCTAACATTTCAGTATTCTGTCATCAGCGTGAGAAGGGGGGAAACATGAATTTGAAGGTCATGAGGGGGTCTCTGAGATCAGCTTTTTCGTCCTGGGGTTCCCGCATGCTGGTCTATGCAGCCGTCAGTTCATCTGTGTCAGAGTCCCCCAGGGAAGCTTTTCAAATGCAGATTCCTGGGCCCTTCACCCTGGAGATTCTGATCCACCAGGTGTGGGGTGGGTCTCGAATTCAGGAAGTGTGTTTTGGGAACCGTTAGTCTAGTCGAACCCCTACCTTTTTGATGGAGAATGGCACCCCATGTCATATAAAGCACTTGACGGTTTGCAGAGCTCCACAGCAGACAACACCCTCCGATCCCCAGTTATCCCATAATCAAGACGAGAACCAGCCCCAGCCTGCCCACTCTACCGTGGCCAGTCCTGCTTCCTGTCCAGGGCCTTGAGGCCCGGGGTCCTTGCTCTTGGCCGACAAAGCTCAGGCTTCCTCCTCGTTCTCTGGGCTTTCCCAGGCCCCCTTTCCACTGGGACTCTTTCAGAGGGAACCTGTCCACCTGCTGCAATGCCCCTGCAGACAGGACCTGTTGCCTGCCGTGGCCGAGTGCTTGGACACGCTCCTGCTAGCCCTCAAGAGGCACTTGAAGGTTGTGGGCAACTAGTTTAAAATGATAATGGCACAAACGGCAGCAGCGAACGGTTACGGAATGCTTATACGCAACAGGCATCGTTCTCAGCATTTTTATACTCACTTGCGTGACATCCTCGTGACAGTCTGGGATTGGTCCCACTGTTGTCTCCGAGAGGTTCCCTGACTGTGCGGGGCGGACCCTGGCGTTCCTAACCACTGGTGGCCCTTGTCCCTCCCCCGCCGGCCGTCCCCTCCCCTCCCTACCACCGTCTTCGGCCGCCAGCTCAGTTTGGCTTTGTTCTTCTCCCCTCCACCTCTGCCACTTGGCCCCGACTCCTCAGTCACTAGAGGATCTTGAAGACCAAAAACGGAAAAAGAAGAAAGAGAAGATGGGATTCGGCTCCATCTCCCGCGTCTTCGCCAGAGGGAAGCAGCGGAAGTCCCTCGACCCCGGCCTCTTTGATGGTACCGCCCCTGATTATTACATAGAGGAGGACGCGGACTGGTGATGCCCGCCTCCCTGGGCCTGCTGCCCCGCAGGCGTGTCTGCGTGCGGACGTGCGTGTGCGCGAGTGTGCGAGCGAGTGTGGGGTGCGCGTGGGCGTGGGTGCTGGGCGCGGCCGGGCGCAAACACACGTGTGACCCCTTCCCCGTGCGTCGCCACCTCTGTAATTGATGTACATACTACAAACGTGTGTGAATATGTCAACTCTCTGTCGTCTTTGGAGCGATACAGTTGTGTTGTTAATCTAGGTTTGTTTCGTTTTTGTTTTCCTTCGATGTCTTTTTTTTTTTTTTCTTTTTGTTCGGTTCGTTGGGTTGTTTTCCTCACACACACCCCCCTTTCCCTTCCCCTCCTCCTTTTTATGAAACTTGAAAACTTGAAGGACTGCTGTGTATTTGTAAATAACAAAACTATTGTGCACTCTGTGCTTGTAAATGTCCCTCGTCCAAACTGCTACTTCTGGAGCCCCTCCCCGAGGATGTGGTCTGTTTTTGATGTCCCCCCCCCAAACCCCGTCGACCCCCCGCTGTGAACGTGTGGGACCAGACCCTGTTCTCGGGGCACGCCCAAGTCACTTGAACCACAAAACCACCATCGTGGTCAGGGTAAGGTCCTCTCTCCGCAAAGTCTCGGAAGCCCGGCCAAGGGTCTGGGCCGGGTGTGTTGAAGTCGAACGGGCTCTTTTTAACGGCCTGCCAGTTTTTCAATTGCGTTGCCGTTTCTTTCTTTATGGAAAACAAGAAAATTGTTCCATTTAATTTATTTGCACAAATGCAGAAGACTTATTCTATCTAAATTATTACATAAATATTGGAATGTATATTTTTCCATGGGGCGGGCGGGAGGCGGGTGTTTCTGTTGACTTGTCTGTTCTGCTCTCACGCTGCTGCCAAACTGTGCAAGGTCAAGTTTAGGGTGGCCGGAACCCAGGGACCATGGGATGTCGAAGCTTGCTCTTTTCCGTTCTCTCTTCTCTCGCCCCATTCTTCCGCCCCTGCATGGAGGTGCACCCCACCTTTCTTCCCACCCATAGCTCTCTCCAGGCCTTTCTATATGCATTTATTTATCAGAAATACAGAACCCGACCTCAGTGAGCAGAGTGCTGTAAGGGTCACCTCTCTTGGGTCTGTCTTTTGAGTGGGCTTGAATACCAGGGAAGACAGCCAACCGCATGACCCCAGGGACCCTCAGCCTGAGCGGTTCCTCGGGCGTCCTCGAGTGGCAGATGTTCCTCCCTGCAGCTGTGTCTTTCTCATCCTTGGTTTATTCTGCACATTGGCCAGGCAGGTCTCATTGGGGGAGGCTCTCGCCTCAAGGGGAGGGCTGTTGGGGACACAGCATCAGGCACCAGAGCCTCTGCCCTCCCCATTCTGGTTGGTTCCTCCAGCCACACTTAGCAGAATCTCTCGGGATCCCTCAGGCCCTGTCCTCCATCCACTCACCCCAGGAGAGAGGGCTGGCAGGAACATCTGCCTGTTTGAGGATCAGCGTTGGTCCTAACGAGGCCTCACCAGCAAAAGAACCATGTTCATTAAACGCTGGGTGTTGGAGAACACGGGAGCTAACAGCCACGGCCTCCCAAGGCCTAAAACTAGCTTTTCCTTTTCTTTCGGCCTGTGAATCCCTCCCTTCGCTCCCCCTTAACTGCTAATACAGCTCAATTCACACACATCCTAAACACAGTAGTTATGCTGTCTGCTAACAGTAACATTTTCCGCTCGTAAAAAGAAACAAGATTTTAAAATGCTGAAGCATCAAAGAAACAAGATTTTAAAATGCTGAAGCGTCTCTATCACAACGAATAGGATATTTTATCCGAAGTCTCAAAAATGAACAGAAAAGCCCTAGCCGGCTGCTCCCTTTCCTTCTGACCTGCCGGGGGGTGCGAAGGAGCAGGCCACACACCTGCAAAGGCTCTTTCTGGCTAAGCCGTTTATCCAAGAGACTGGAGCTGGCATCTTTCTTGACAGAGAGAGATTTTAGAAAACACACTCCCCTCCCCCCGCCATGAATTTTTCTTTCTCTTGATTGATTTTTATTGTTTTCCCTTTACTTATGAGAAAGTAAGATTGCAACCACCCACTCCTGGTAATGATTCAGTAGCTCCTTTTCATTTCAGTTTTTGTAAATTAGGAGATAATTCTGAGAGTTACTAAGGATGATTTATTTAAGAGAACTACGTCAAATAGCGAATGAGTTATGGGTAACATTAGATGAAAATAACCTTTCCCGTGGGAAAGGTTTCTCGAAGGCATGGATGCAAATACAAAATATTAAAAAAAAAAAAAAAAAATCTAAATAAAGCTTATTTTAAAATATGATCGAATGCTATGTTATTTGATTGCTTCTATCTTGCCCCGGGTGGGAGGCCAAGCCCCCGTGCCCTGCTCCTTGGAATTCCAGGGCTGGGTCCTGAGGGGGTGGTGGGAGGGGCCGAGGAAAGCTGGCTGGATTCTGGGCCCGTGGAGGGGCTGAGGCTGGAGTGATCTCCCAGAAACATCTCGCTTGGCCGCCCTTACTGTCGGCATCCAGAGCTGCCCGTGGTCGTAATGCAGCCGCTCCGAGCCTGGCACCCTGGCCCCGTGTTCTCTGGCTCAGCGCCCCGGTCAGCTTTCATCGGCTTCCTTCTCCCCCCAGCGTGCCTTCCAAGGCCCTGCGGTGGGGCGAGTTTGGGGCATGTTACTTCCTGCAGACCTCAGTGGGCCTCTGCAGTGTCCCAACTTCCCACCTTCCCTAGGGACCGAAAGGAGCTTAAGAGAGAAATGAAGGGAGACGCAGGGCTTCCCTCGTGAAGCCAGAGTGAGCCAGGCTTTTCTGAGTCCCCCCTGAGGTCCCCCAGACACAAAGCTCAGGCCCAAGAAGAGGCCACTGGATACCCCAGTCCCTCATTACAGCCAGTGCTCTCAACCTCTATCTCCCAACCCAGAAACAAAACCTCTCCAGCAATGAGACCGACGAAAGACTGGTCTTTTAACTCCCCTATCATTTCTGCTGGAAGAAGGCTCAAAGCTGTGTCATACAGAGACCATGCCGAGAAGTTATAGAGCTCAGGACTGCAAGGAACTTAGAGGTGTCTACCCCAGCAGTTCTCAACCTGGCCGCACAGTAGAGTCCCCTGCAGAGCTTTCAGAAAATGGTCAGAAGCCAGGCCATGCCCTCGAATCAGTGTCGTTAAACCTTCTCTGATGATCCCAAGGTGAAGCTGGACTTAATGACCACTGGGCAAGTGGCCCAAACATGCCGCTACTCCCCTCTCCCTGGCCTCACGTAGATATCACCAGTCACTTAAAGAATGCTTCTTGCCCAGCCCAGAGTGGCCTCTGAGTTCTTGACGTTACAAAGCCTCAGACAGCCACTACCAGTCAGTCGGAGTTGGCATACAAGGAGAAAGCCATCCCCAAACTAACCCAACCCCCCACACTGGACAGGTGGGGGATCTTTGTCCCAAATCAGAGTGACTTGGCCAAGATCCTAGCTCTCGCCCCTATAATTTTGTGACCTTCTCAAGGGCCAGGCCACACTTTATTCAGATCTTTGTCACTCTACTCAAAAGCCACACTACCTCCTTTGTTAATCTTCTCTAAGACCTTGCCCCAGTGGTCCAACCTCAAGTGGCATCTGCTAGGAACTGGAGGAGGGGTTCCCGGGGATCCAGGGCCAGTGTGCACTGCTCAGGCTGTGTCCTGCATTACTCCGTAAGACACTACTGCGTGGGTGCCCCGAGTTATGCAGTGCACGACCCACGTGGCTGCGCTCAGTGGCCCTTCTGTGCACTCTCCCACTGAGCTGTCAGGCTCCAACAGGTGCAACCTAATAATAGTAATAATAATAATTAACATCTATTAAACGCTTCCCATCGGCCAGAGTCCATGCTGTGCCCTTGACATGTATTAACTCGGTTACCCCTCCCACAGCCTACGTTATCGGGAAAACTGAGGCTAAGTATGTCGTCCAAGGTCTAGGAGCCTAGTAATCAGCAGAGCCGGGCTCCAGACCGAGGGGTTCTGGTGCCCTGAAGTGCAGCACCATCCGGGCGGCGAGAGGCGGGGGCCGAGCAGGTGGACATCTATGTGCTCAGGCCTGACTTGAACCTGACCCTAGTCCTCCCTTCAGCACAGCCTAGCACATCCTTGCTTGTGTGACTGAGTCTATTCCCATCAGCCTTTTACCCTCAGACCCAGAAATCCCACCCCAAAGAGGAGGTGGCGGGGAGGACAGAGCAGAACATGGGCTGTCGCCCGGCACAGGCTCTCCATTCCGAGCACGGCCATCACTTGCTGTACTGTGCACCCCACCCCTGCCGAACCAGAGCTGCCACGTCCTGAGGGATAGCTCCGCCCCTACACAAAATGCCAGGTCCCCTCCTGCCACAGGATGAGCTCAGGACCCAAGAGCCACCCCACACCAGAGCCCCAGCCATGCTGGGCAGCTGCAATTGTGCTCCGGGGAAATCCAGGCGCAGTGGGGTGCCACATATGGGGCATCGGCCCTTCGACAATATGAGTTTAAAAATACCTATGGGCCCTCGCACCCCAAACCTGCATTTTCCCAAACATCTCACCCCCAGCCCATCTGCTTTGAACAAACAACTCGAGCCTTTTCAACTCGAACCCCCCTCGGTGGGACAAAGCATGCCGTGGCCCTCTTCCCCCCACCCCTGCCACCTGTTCCCACTTCCTGGTGGAAAAGAACCTGGTGGTAATAATCAAGAGGATGCATATCATTAATTTCATCTTATAGAAGGATAGTTTTGTAATTTTCTGCGATAAGACAATGCCCTATAAACTTAAAAATAACTTAAGAGTGTGATCTTGACCGTATGTTAGAAGTTGTTTAAATACCAAAGTCATAGCACATCACCCACGAAGTGTCTCTGTACAGGCAGATCGAGGGTACGAAACGTGGAGGCAGATGAGGCACGGATAATTCAAACATAAGCCACCACTGCCTGGAGCCTGAAGGCCCAGTTACTGAAAAATATGCAGATACGGAACCCTGCCCTCTAGGAGGCCATGCTCACGATCCCCGACAAACCGGACCCGCGAGAGAAAGATCTCAAGAGGACTGATCTTTAGAAGCAAGAATAGCAGCAGCTGAAAACCTTGACCTATTCCTCCTGAAATGGCAGGACCTCAATCACCTAGCACGTCCCCGGGGGAGCCTTGTGACATGGCCAGGCTATGTGCAGCAACCGTGTTTCTGAATCAGTCCCTGGAAAACACTGGCTGACTGCTCGTTTGTGTTTCTGAGTTTCAAGTTTTGGAAGTCTCTGATTGTTTTCTTAATGGGTTACCAGTAAGTAGCAGTTATTTGCACCAAAATAACAGAAGCTAGAAAATTGCATGCCATGCTGTCTGGAGGACCGTGCAGCCCCTGTTGGGCCGGGCTAGGCCCAGATAATCACTTCGGCTCTGGCCTTACATCCTGCTTTAAGCAAGTTGTTTATCCCGTGAGCCTCAGTGTCCTCATCTTTGAAATCGGTATAACAACCGCCCACTCCACCCCCGATAGGCTCAGACATGAAAAAGCTGAATGTCTTTTGGAGTCTGGAAAGACCTAGGCCATCCAGTCTGTGTTCCCTGTCATTTGAGTGGTTTTAAGTTCAACCAGAGGGAGAGGAAAAGTGTAAGCAGCTTGACAAACATCTTTAGCCGGAAGGTGAATAGATCAAAATTTGTTCCCAGGGGGGAAATCAGGGCATAAAGCTGACATCGGCCTGACATAGGGTTGATGGCAGCCGTTGAACTTGGTGTTCCTCCAGCTGTGTCCAGCTTCAGTTCCATTGTTGCTTTGGGAGAAAAACCAGGCTTCTCCGCCCTAGAACAGGGAGGGTTTGAGGCATTTTCCCCTCGAGTCTACCATTTCTGACAGCATTCTGTCTTTCTGAAGCCCAGTAGAAACATACTCTCTGCTGTGCCTAGCACAGGCAAATTTAGACCGAGAAAAACAATTAGGCTGCCCAGGGCTGGGTTCTTGAGACAGAAGCCCCCAGGGATCACCCTGGGTTGGCACATTTATAAGGAGACGTGTGTCAGAGCCCAGAGCTGGCCTGGTCTGGCAACAAGGCATGCCTCAAAATCTGCAGATATTCATTCATATAATCCTTCCAACAACCCTCCAAGATAAATACTGTTATCATCCCCATTTATAGATGAATAAACCAAGGCACAGAGAGGTAAAGTTCTTGCCCAGAGTCACACGACCAGGAAGAGGCAGAACTGGGATTCAGCGCCAGCTATCTGGCTCCCAAGTTCATTTTCAGTAAGTGTGCTACGCAGTCTCTATCAGCCACAGGCCCCCACGCTCTCCCACAGGGACAGCTGGTCAACAGGAAGCTTTAGAGAACTTGAGAAAGCCTCACCAGCCAAGGCCTGTGCAGGCTAGCCCTTTGGGGCTCGGTCTCTCCACCCCAGAGAGGAAGAAATGAGAATAAGCAGAAGTTTGCAAACTGTGTTCCATGGAACCCTTGGGGTTCCTCAGAGGTCCATTAAGACAAGGATTCCCAACCTCCGGTCACTGACTGGTACTGGCTGCAGCCTGCTAGGAACCAGGCCGCACAGGTGAGCCAGAGAAGCTTCATCTGTGTCTGCAGCCGCTCCCCAGCGCTAGCATCACCGCCTCAGCTCCACCTCAGACCATCAGGCACTAGTCTCTTAAGAGCACTGGTCCCTGGTACCAAAAAGGATGGGGACCGCTGCCTTACGCAATTGCCATAGCTGGTGAAAAAATTAAAAGGCTGGGTTCCATCCCACCTTCAGCCGGAAGCTCTTCTCTTATCTGTTGCACACTGGACCTTCATGCAAGGGTCCATCAGGAGGGCCCCATGATAGAAAAAAAAAATGAGCCAGAGGGAAAGAAAATGAGAGGTTTGAGAACCACACGTAGCTCAGTGGTTGTCCAACCTGACCAAGCCTTGAGTTTTAATGATAGAGATTCTCAGGATCCATCTCCTACCTACTGAGTCAGAAGGTCTGGGGCTGAGGCCCTGGGAGCTGAGGCCCTGGGAGCTGAGTGTCTGTTGAGCAAGCTCCCCACGTGGGCTCAGTTGCAAGAGTTTCTGCAAGGCCGAGCGAGGGCAGCATCCCGCCTGCGGGTTTTAGCACAGACGCGCCTTTGGGAAGCTTCCCAAGGCACCTTCATACGGTAGATGGAGGCCACCCTCCTAGGGCAGCTCCAGGGTCCCCCAGTGAGGGAGGAACCACGTCGAGCAAGACCCCAGGGTGCCCCCAAGGCAGCCAGCAGCCAGGGGCCTTGCTGGGCCCCTTGAGCAGAACAAAGGGAACTGACACGGTATGAGCATCTGCTGCTCCCTGGAAACCTG